AAATTGTTGATAAAAGGAAAGCTGTTGTTGTAATCAAGCTATACAAACATATCAAACACAAAGATTTTAAACGATAATTCTCACAACTCTATTGGTATCAAGAATTAACTTGAATTCCTTGATTCAAGAATGCAAAACTACAAAATTGGATCCTCTATCTTACAAGGACCTAGGAGTCTGAAATAGGATACACTACAAAATTTATAGTCACTGTTCAGACTAGATTATTGTGATCATTCACCCAAGCCTCATTAAAATCACATTTTGAAGGCTATCCAAAATGTGGCTCAGATTCAGTTTCATTTTAACAAAGCTGGTACGAATGGCAGAACATTCAGTAATGTTGAGAAGAATGGTAACTGCTATATTAAATAATTAGAATAATTAACATTTGTTTATCTACAATAGAAACCAATACTGCCAAATCCTTCCTAGCTTTAGTTCTGTTATATTCCAGACTACAGAAAATGGGACAGGTGAAAAGAAAAAATAAAAACATTATTGTGCATTCTGAAATATTTTTCATATTGGTACAGAATTTCTAACTCTTAAGTAATAACTTTATTGCCAACTCCCAATACTATCCAAAACTCATAATGTTGCCTTCCACTTCAGGCAATCAGAACTCTTTATTTTCACTAAATTAGTCCTGAAACCAAATGAACTGATATCACAACCCTGTGCCAAGATTTTTATTTGGTATTGAAAAAAAAATAAGTGGTTGGTTGTTGGATTTTTTTAGCATTATTATTATTATTTTCCTTTTTAACTTAGAGCCAGAGATGACCATGGGCAAAGAGCCGAGAGTTAGCTAATTTGACTTGGTGAGAGCATCCACTGTGAGACTTTCACATAAGAACAGGACAGAAATAAGACATAAAAGACCACTCAGAAATGGGAAAAGAAAATAAAAAAAATTCTTCAAGTGTAGCTATGAAAGACAGTAAAAATCATGGGAGGCACTAGAGGGGTGCAATAGAAACTTATTAAGGACACAGGGAAGCTGCTAAGTCAGCCTTAAAATAGAAGTTAACTGTTTAATTTCTCTAAGGACTTTACAGCATGCACATTTTAGTGTCTTAAAAGGTAAAGAAGAACCAATCTTAAAACATCTTGCTGAAGTGCTTGAAATATATCACACTTAAAAGTGAAAAAACCCCAAGAATATTATTAAAAGAAAAAAACAACAACATTAATTTCTCAGAGCTCACTCATCTACGGATGTGTTTCATTCCACCCATCTCTCTCCCAGAAGATGTATCTTGCAAATCCTGAGCCAAATTTCTAGAGACCAAGAAGAAGAAAGTTAATCCGGACTGAAAAGAGCAAGTTTTGGTGATCTGCTATCTTTGCACACTTCCCAGAAAACCAAATACTTAGAAATGGGAGACAAGTTTTCTTTGGACTAAGACTTTTGAATATTTTCAGTGAAGTTATTTCAGAGAAATGTAGAAATTACTGTAGCTGCTCTTTCAATTTCATAGAAACATAGAATGTTAGGGGTTGGAAGAGACCTCTGGAGATCATTGAGTCCATTCCCCCTGCCAGAGCAGAACCACCACAGAATATAGGGCAGATGACAGAAACACATCCAGACGGATCTTGAAAGTCTCCAGAGAAGGAGAATCCACAACCTCTCTGGGCAGCCTGTTCCAGTGCTCTGTCACCCTCACAGTAAAGAAGCTTTTCCTCATCTTGAGGTGGAAGTTCCTGTGTTCCAGTTTTCGGAATTTAAATAAATTGTTATACAAATTACAGGATTCACCACTCATTTTTGTTGCATTTGAAGGATTTTGTTAATTTTCTCTGCTGATAGTAATAAAGCCATTCTATTTTGTTCTTTAAAAGGCATCCTAGAGAACATTTTCAGGAAATTAGTCTTCAATACAGACAAGCCCCCATGCAAATGGTATACACTATATAAAGACAAGATCAAAGACTCACAGTCTACAATAACAGTATTCACCACAAACATGCAAAAACAGATAGCTAAAAGCTGAAGGGCAGCTAGAAGCTCCACAAAGCAAAAGCCCTTTATGATACTCAGACACTGAGCAAACTAGATCTTGCCTGCTATACCTCACTTGAACTATGTACTCTAATTTTATTTCAGTAAGAACACCCTTTTTCTGGCAAAGGAGTTATACAGTTTTCCAGTGGGATTGCTCTGAAAGCAACCTTATGAGTTATGAACTACTTCACATTTCACGCATGCTTCTGGAGAGAGGCCACAGTTCTGAGCATGAAGTGCAGTCTGTGACTGGCCTGCATCACATAGAATGCACAGCAGCTGAGAGATGGTCTTGTTTCTGACAGTATGTCAGAAAGTATTGTCAGGCTTCTGTTTGTCCTGGAAGTTCAAGATAGAATTGCTTCACAGTGTAGACATCAGAAGTACAGAGCCCAGCTTTGTCACTTTAAACACTGTACAATGTATTAGTCATCACTTCAATTAGCATATGAAGCAAATTTAGCACAAGAACACTTTTTATCTTTACATTTTAAGATAAAGTCCATTAACTAATAGACTACTTTTGTTAAAAGTGCTTAAGACAAAGAAGGTTGTAAAGACAGGATGCAAGTTAGTTCTCTCAGGAAACAACCAAAACATCAGCCATACAAGACTTCACTGAACACCACAGGAATTTAGTTGAATTGAAACATGGAAATGGTGGAGATACCTAAGCATTCTGTTTTCCTAAATGATAACATACTTAGGTGAAGTTCACTAAAGGACTGGTGCAAGGGAAGGGGGACAGAGGAAGGCTGGTGTAGCACTGACTTGTTCCTAATATATCAGTTCTGACAACACATTGCTCACATTGTTTCTTGGGACATGCATGGAAATGTCATTGACTGTGTGGACAGTAGTGGGCAAGAAGAACAACTTACAAAAACACAAAGGGAGGATAAACATGTCAGCTTCCTTGTGTGTTTGTTAATTGTCCTCTGAGGTTCTGCTAACAGAGGAGGATGCTTGTTGAACGTATTTATTATGCTGACAATGTAATTTAACACAGCTTTGACGCTGTACACTTGTAAATTAGAACTCAAACTTCTTGGAAGCACTCTTTCCA